ACCTGTGCTGTTTTGCCCTGCAGGAGCCATTCAGTCATTTGCAGGCTTCACCGACTACTTCACCGCCATGGCACAAGAGGGCTGGTTCCCACTGAAGTGTGTAGGGCTTCGGGCTGACTGGGAGAATGACCATCTTCAGGACCTCCAGGACAGCTATGGCCAAGAGTGGGTGAGTAAAGAAAAGAGAGACCAATCTGACTCCCAGCCTGATTTTCCAACTGTTGCAACTCAGATTCTTAGTCACAGGCCATGTTTACCCAACCTCGTTAACCTTGCTATTGAGTTAATCCATTGTCTGGGTTTGTATGAGATGCTGAACCAGAAACTAACCAAAATAAGCTGGGTTCATACAGTACACTAAGCCCCAAAGAAACTAACCACAATTAAAACTAGCTAGGCTTTGCATGTTATGCAAATGCAACATAAACAATGGAGTCTCTGATTCCATCCATCATTTATTTTTTCAAGAGACTTTTTCTTCTTAAGAGACTGATGAGGGTGAGATGGCCATTTAAATTCTTTCCTTGCTGAATATTTCTCCCCATCAAGCCACTTTTAGCCCAGAAGCAGGTAAGAATTGCAGGCAGTACCTGCCCTTTCCATATCCACAATGAGGATGAAAAAAATACAGGTGATTTTTGAAATAGATATCATGGAAGAAAAGCTCAAGTTGTCACCATATATGGGCAAAACATGGTCCATTCCATTCTGTCCTCTTGACACAAACACTCAGCAAAAGGGGGAAGGGGTTGTTGTGGGTTTTGTTTTGGGTTTTTTGTTGTTGTTGTTTTTGGTACTCCTACACACTAAGGTGAACGGTAGGCCATCGAAATGAGCAAAAAGTAAATACTCTGCATTGTCTTAGAACCTCCAAACTATTTAAGCAGTTCTCAGGGTCATCTGGCGACTGGTGATCACCTACTGAATTTGCCTTCATACCACCACCTTTTCTTTCTACTTCCAGACGTTTGGACAGCGTCTTTATCAACAGTACACCTGCTATACTGTCTTCTTCATCAGCATTGAGATGTGCCAGATTGCAGATGTGCTTATCCGCAAGACACGACGACTCTCTGTCTTCCAGCAAGGGTTCTTCAGGTAGATAGCACCCCAGCAGCTCCATCTGAGACATCTTCCTTGTCCGGTGCAACTAGGAACATGGTTTTTCAAATCCATGTTGTTTATATGGTTATAGTATAAAATGAAACAAAGGGGTAATAGCCAATTATTGCTTTCTTTGAGATGTTGACAGCAGTATGATCATTGAGAACAAAATATTTATAGGAAGGGACCTTCAGGATTGAACAACAGTTCAGTGGTAACTTCCAGCTACCACAGAAAAGTTGAATTAGGCTGTAGCCTCGAACCCACTTGGCTCACTGAGCAACTGGAACTTGCTTTGGAGCGATCATATTACAAAGGTGCTGTTTACAGCATAATAGACAGGATTTCAAGTATCCTCTCTGAACAGGATCTTACCAGAAATAAGATTTTCAATGGGCAAATGGCAGGAAATTGAACTTTGCTGATAGGTTCCACAGCTGGAATCTTTCTCAGCAACTCTTCCAACCCAACAAATTCAACCTGTTCTTCGACCTCCTGTTCTCATTCTTAGTCT